CTTACAGGGCTGGCGTTGTGACAATTGCCGTAGACCTGGTGCATCTGAAGGTTCTCCTAGTCAAACCTATTTACAGAGAGAGCAGCAAAGCCCAAACACGGTAAGTGAACATTGGCCTTCTGTGGGCTCATTCGTGGCTCTAAAATTTTAATCAGTACTAAGAATAAAGTATTTTTTTCTCCTAATTGGATTTTGTGATTCTGCAGGCCCTATGTTTGCATGTTTTGTCCTTGGATGATGGGTGAATAACCTATTGTCTATTTTTTTCCCCTCACAATTTCACCCATTTGCTTTCTGTGAAATGGGGGTGTTCTATTGAATAAGAATAAATAGGAGATTCTGCCTTTAGTGCTCAGAGTCCCTTTGCCTTGTCCATTGCCAAAATACTGGAGCATATGTTCTAAAGCAAATTTCACAGCTTCCTAACGTGATTTATAGCAGGAGTGTCAAACTCGAGCCTCGTGGGCCGGATCCGGCCTGCAGGGTGCTTAGCTCTGGCCCGCGGGGCCGCCCTGGAAACAGCGAAGGACCGGCCCATGGCGCCTGCAGGAAGCCGTGGCAGAAGCCCGTTTTTGCTGGCAGAGGGCTCAGGCCATCACGGGCGCCCCCCACATAAGTGACATTGAGCTGTTAGATATCAAATAATTTTACTTTCTTTGGTAAATGATGTGGATCTGTTTGCGTTCTACATGATAGAATTGCAGTAACATAAACCAGAAAAGGTAAGGCTTAAACAAAATATAAAACAAATGGAAAGTACTTTCCCATGGAGTCCTAAGCATCAGTTACATTAGCAGAGGTGTCTATAGGCGTCAAGTGATAAAATATGCATTAAAAAAAGCAAAGTCTGTGATTATGTATTTGGGCCAAATATCAGGATCTAAGTACAGAAGGGCAGAATTTGCATCATATAATGTCACGTGTATTTTGATCTAATCTCAGGTTGTTGCAGATGGTGAGACACACTGAATTTTTGTTCTGAAATCAAACGGTCATTTTAAGATTTTTCATTAAGAGCCTACAGTATAAATGTTGTTCAGATTATCCACACTTTCAGTAAGATACTTGCTGCCTTTTAACATTATGACTGCTAATTATATTTATCCATGTTTCCCCCAGCAGAACATCCACTGTCCAATTGAATGCTTCTACCCCTTACATCTACAGTCCGATGCCCAGAACCAACGTGGAGATTAATTATCAAGATTTTAACGTCAAGCAAAAAGAGGTTGCAGCCAAGACTATCACTATAAATACTGCCAGGAGAAAGCAGATCTATCTTATCTTGGGGTAATGAAAGCATTTAGCTCTCATATTTGGGCTCCATAAAATCTGGATGACCACAGGTTTGTAGCAAAGACACTTGAGATTCTTTTCTGCCTTCTGGTGGTCATCTGGGTTTTCCTACCCCAGGCCTGATAGCTTTACAACAGCTGCACCACTTCTCCACTTCTGCTGCGCTTGTCCAAAGGAGGCCTGTTCTGGTGCATTTCAATTCTTCTTTTCATCAAGGAAGCATATATCCTGTCCATTCTTTTCCCAAAGTCTTTCAATATTTTCCTTAAAGCAACTATTGCTAATAATAAACGCTCAGCAATTTGTAAACACCCTCGGGACCATAAAAACGGGAGAGAGAAAATACTGAATATTCAAATGAAAATCCAAGAAGGAAATATGTTCTGCTAACCATGCAGGCGTCAATGGGAATTGCATATCCTATTACTGTGATATTTATAATATGCACAGCCTTAATCTTTATAAATGATCCTATTTTTCCCCTAGCAGTATATATGTATCTCATACTGTTATTTATCAACATCAATTTCCTTCTATTCCTCCCTCCCCCCAATCTCTAAATGTCCTTATATTTTTCTACAAGAAAATACATTAAAGACATTTAGTATACTGTGGACAGAAAAATTTGGTATAATTATGATCAGTGATTATTTTTTTATACCGTAAGTGCCAAAGCTTTCTGCTGTGAGAGACAATTCTTTTAATAAAAGGTTTCACCAAATTGTCTTTTTTTGAACTATTGTCTGATTTTTTTTCTAATTAATCTGAGCTCAGCAATCTGTAATCACTTCTGACATTATTATGCTTAGCAGCCCACAGAAACAGAATAGAACTAAAGAAAACCAATCTTAGGTATTATAGAAAGCTATAGAAAGTTTGTTAAATTCTTTAATTTCCTATTGTTTTCTCAAAATAAAACTCCAAAGGAAATTAGGTTGATAAAAGATTATTGCCCCATTATTGCCCAGTGAGCTTTCTACCTGAGTGGAAGTTTTAACTCTCTTTTTAAACACCCACATTTTAGTCCATCCAAAATGGAAAAGTAAATTTTTGCAAGTAAATTATTAGGAGTTATTAGACTTCTGGGATCGTAGATGGATAGGGCTATTATATTCGCCTATAAATGGGATGTCAGCCCTCAGGCTGCCATCCGGGGGGACCCTGTCTATCACCAGGCCCGCTCAGCCATGCTTACACCCCACTAACGCTGCCACATTGATGCTGCCCCGCTGATGTCGATTGAGCCTGTAGCTGCCTGTGGCTCTTCTACTCGGGTGCAAAACTGCCTACTCGGATGTAACTCTTTTGCTCGGATGCGGCTAACCAGGAAAGAGGCTGTGATGACACTGAGTGGGGGGTGGGTGGCTGAGGGTGCGAGTCTTGGTGATGGTCTTGGGGGATATCGCTGGTAACCTCAAGGCGGAGGATAAAAAGGCAGACTCACCTTGAGGAAAACCTTTCAGACATCGTGGGCCATGAAGGCGGCCGCTTTGGTGTCAATCGAACCACTGTGGCTGTGGCTGCGCCAGATGCAAGAATATCTTTCCCTAGATGACCAGAGGTTGCAGCAGGACTTAAAACAAAGTCATCGCTGCTACCCAGTTTTCACCCGATGCCCCCCCTTCATGCAGTAAAAGATGCATCCAGGGCCTTGACAACATCTGTAACCTCCAGGAGGCTCTTATGGCTTCAAGCTGACAAGTGGATGCCAAACCCAAATGGCACCTGGCGGCAGCTCCTTATGTGGGGGCCCAGTTGTTTGGGGCACTGCTGGAACCCATTTTGGTCGATGACAAGAATAAGGTCTTGCCCACGGCAGCTAAACAGTCGGAACAGAGGCCTGCTCCGTATTATCATAGACCTTCCTTCCGCCATCAGGACCAGGAGGCCCAACAAGCCAGGTATTTTCTTCCCCGTAATAACAGGCAGCAGGACAGACAGTCAGACAGGTCGTATCATAGAGACAGGTCCCGCTACCAACCCCAGGACAAGGGGCCCTTTCGAGGGGAAGGCGGTCGTTCCTTCCACAGAGGAATGTAATTTAGAATCGCTTCCTCCAATTGGTGGCCGCCTCACCTTATTCGCGGACTGGTGGGATTCCATCACCACCGACCAGTGGGTTCTTGATACCATTCGATTTGGTCTAGAATTCCTATCCCACCCCCCAAACAGGTTTAGGGTTTTCTCTCCTTCGAGGAATCCCGTTAAATGGAACCTCATGAGGGTGCCCATTCAACACCTTCTGGAGATTCAGGCTGTGGAACTAGTCCTTACAGACCAGGAGGGCCGGGGGTTTTACTCCAATGTGTTCATTCGGCCAGCCACAGGTGGTTCTCTTTGCATTTCCGAACAATGCCCACCTCCCCAGATTCATCTCCCAGTTTCCAGCTCGAGGGGCAGAGGACATGAATGCACTACGCTGCCAGTGGCCAGTGGGTCTCCTGTATGCCTCCCCCCCTTCTCCTCATTCCTGGGGTTCTGAGCCGGGTGGTCACAGAGAGAGCGGAGGTGATTATGGTAGCACCCTTCTGGCCTCGCAGACCTACTAGACATCTCCATAGCACCCCATTGGAGGATTCCAGAGGAGGAGGTCATCTTGTGCCAGGGGGTCCTGTTCCACCCT